AATATTTATTTTTTTCCTTGGCAAAAAGTCAGGTGCTACATTTTAAAAAACAGAAAATCCCCAAACAATCAAATGCATGGCCCATCACAGAAGAGGACCTAGCAACAGTACAAGACATCCTACTCAAGATTTTTTTAAAATATACAAGTCAGTTTAAAATGATAGTTCTGTGAGAACTAAGAAATCTACAGCCTGTAGTTTAGTAATAGAAAAAAAATTAAGACAGAAGATTTATAGCATCCAGCATTTTGCTTAATTCCCTGTTTGCAGCACCTATTTTTCTAGGGTATAAGATGATTATTCCAGAACCTGTGGCATATGCTATGTACCACCAAGTTAGGACTTGCTGTGTCCCTTCCCCACCAGCCCCTACCATTATAAGAAGGGTACTCTTTACACTTAGAGAAAACAGGGATAACTGGGAGACCAAACAAGAAACTGGGTGCAGGACTACAACCTCCTTTCTCCAGGAAGGGATGTTGCTAGAGAAGCACTGTGTGTGCTTAGAGGACTAGAGATAAGAAAAGGTTACTCTGGACATGATTCGAGAAAACAGGGCACAGCTCCTGCAAATTTAAAACCCTCAGACTAAACAGTCAGGTCAAAGGAGGAACAAGCAAATTACTCATCACATTGATGCTGTTAACATGCATAAGCCGCCCCATCACCATCACAGGTGTGAGCCACCATAGCAGGAGGGGTGGCTCCAACCCTAAGCCCCACTGCACTGAGAAAACAAATATCCCACACATGAAGTACTCACTACATGTAGATAAACCCCCTCATGACCACACCCTCCTGGACTGAACCCAATTAGAAAGCACCAGCAAAACCTACAAGCAAGACTAGAAGAACAGCAAAGGAAAAGTTTCTTCAAAGCAAAGGAGATGATATATGGGGACCATAGCAGACTCCTGGGGCCTGGCCAGATCAGGCCTTGAGCAAAGAGAGAGGGAGACTGGAAGAGGATTCTCTTTACCCAGACCTGAAGCCTTCTGCAGTCCCCATAACTGCACCTGATGGTTTAGCAAAGTGGCCATTGGCTGAGCAGACAGGAGTTTAGGGAGTGAAGTGACACATTGGTGTTCTCCCAGACGTGGGAGGACAGGGAGTGCTGGAGTACTTTGGAGTCCTTGCATTGAGGCCCCAGGCAGTCTGCAATCTAACTCAAGTGTTTTCCTGGTGTTTTGTCTGTTTTTTACTTTTTACAATGTCAGACTTTAAAAAACACAAGATACAGGCTAGGCCCAAAGCTAGACTCTGAATAAAGTTGGTTCTTTTATAAATACTTTAATTACAGGTAACCCTCACTCCAGTGACACAATACCAACAGGCACACAAGTTCACACACACACACACACACACACACACACACACACACACACGAGGCTCCCCCCCAAAAACACACACAAGCTCCCAAACTTTCACAGAAAGTCTGACAGCTACCACATAATTATAAAGGAGCCCTACCTCTCGAGAGTGAAGTAAGGGCGAGAATGACTATGTCATTTCAGCATAAAGAAGCCAGAGAAGAGAGAGTGTGTGTCACGTAAAGAAAAAAATGACAATAAAATTCTAATCACTGAAAGGGGAACCAAACAAACCAACCTGACCAATCAACCTGCCCCAACCCCCAAAAACCCCACATTTTCGATTTCTGCAGATTCTTCCTATTAATTGCCTCAACCATGGGCAAACTCAGATGTTTCCACTAAAATATGAAAGGTTTCCACAATTGGAGGAAAGAAAAAAAATTAAAAGACGAAACAAAGAAACTATGGGTAGAGGTTAGTGTAAATCTGCATTTTGGGAGAAAGTTAGTTGTCATTAACTCCACAGTCCAGCATAGTTTCCATGGAGCCCTGAAGGGAGGGGACCTCCTGCCACAAAGAGTTTCGTTCCGGACGAGTCGTAGCAGTGGGTGTAAACAGCATTGGGGAAGAAGTCAATGTCCGAAAAGTAATTCCTCCAGGTTTCATCATGATTCTAGGTGAACAGAAAGAGCCTGTTAGCCCCTCTACAGAAGTGAGCAGGAAAGGACCAAACAGGAAAGGGTTCTATATCACCTGATGTCACACAATCACTTCGCATGGGAACTGAGCATTTTTTTCCAACCAAGTATCAGAGAGGAACTAAGCCACAAAACCACTAGATTCAAACTCATTTATAACTCACTGGCAGTGGCAAGGAGAGGGGGTTTCTCATCTTCCCTGCTCTATTATCACTTGGAGGAAATCCTAGGCCAACCACTATATTTTACCATTTTTTTCTTTTTAGGGAAAGGGTCTCCTTATGTAGTTCAGGCTGGTTACAAACTTGTGAATCTCCTTCCTGCCTCAGTTTCCTGGATGCAGAGATAACAAGCATTTGCTCTGATAGCTGCCTTACTGAGCTGCTTTTTCTCCCCATAGGCAATAAGCACACACAATGCAAAGACGGGGAAAGGGCCTTTCTCTGCTCCAAGAAGTTTTGCTGGTGGTGTATCGACAGAAGTGACCGTCCAGCAACAATCATCTCAGGTGTGGGCTTACTCACCAGCCAGCCCTTGCCAGTGGTTAGTTTCAGATTCTCCCCTGTCAGTCTGGGCTTGGATCCACAAGAAGCTGAGAACCTCTCTTCCAGAAATCTCTGAGCTCGGATATCATAGAACAGCAGGGAACCCTGCCCTGTGCCCACAGTAATAATGTGTTCGTAGAAGCTTACTGACCGGATCCCTGAAAGAGAAAAGTGCAGAGCAATTAAAGTATATGCTTGAGCTGCTCAGCATCCCCAAATATGTCTGTGTTCCAAAGGTTAAGTACAACTCATGGTAGCTAACAGAAGCCTTTGCTAAGCCAGATTACTGATAATGCCCAAGTTAGTTTTGGCTATAGAACTTAAATGTGTCTAGTACCTCCCCTTGGGCAGCTCTGGGATCATCTTTCATAACTATTAGCTTTTCTTCATCACATGTTGCCAACTTAGACTGCAACTTAGTTTTATCTGCATAGTTACTACCACAGCCCCACAAGAAGTATTTGGTAGTATGTCATTTATGACAAGTTAACCATTACTCTGGATCACAGAGAAAATGTATCTGCTACATCTTGGATCATATAAGTGAAGGGATACAGGTGCCTCATATGAAAGTTACCTCAACAGTAACCAAAATTTTATTAATTCATCAAAACTTCATTATCACCTGGGTGTGGTGGTGCACGCCTTTCCTCCTACTTTTATTACATCCATTGTTCTAGGTTCTAAATGTAAGCATTTTGTTTTTTGAGTCAAGGTCTCTGTGTAGCCAGAGCAGGCCTGAAATGTACTATGCAGACCATGTGACCTCTACCTCATAGAGATCTACTTGCCTTTGCCTCCTCTAAGTGCTAGAATTAAAGGCATGTGCTACTACACCCAGCTTTAAAATTTTTTTTTAAATTTCTTTTTATTTGATGTGTGAGTGTACTGCCTGCATGAATGTAAGCGTACTGATGTTGTACAATGCCTGAGGAGGACAAAAAGGGTGTTGGATCCCTTGGAACTGGAGTTAAGGATGGTTGTTAGCTGCCATGTGGATGTTGAGAAATGAACCCGGGTCCTCCTTAACTGCTGAGTCATCTATTCAGTAAATGTAAACATCTTAACTACATCTTTAAAAAATCCCAGAGAGTCTGGGCATGGTAGTACATGCCTGTAGTCCCAGCACTTGGAGGCAGAGGCAGGCAGATCCGTGAGTTCAAGGCCAGCCTGGTCTACATAGTGAGTTCCAGGACAGCTTGGGCTACAGGGAGACCCTGTCTCAAAAAGACCAAAAAAAAAAAAAAAAAAAATCCCAGCGAGGACTGGAGAGATGGCTTGGTGATTAAGAGCACCTGCTGCTCCTGCAGAGTTGGGTTCCGTTCCCAGCACTGTAAGAAATGTTTAATAGTTTAGTATCAGTCTTTTCTGTCGAGCACTGAAACTTTGGTTTAGGATAAGGAATTCAAATCATCTACCCCCACCTCCCCCACTGTAAAAACTTTTGTTTTTGCAAAAGCCCTGCTGCTTCCCAGAATCTAGTGACTAAGCCGTTTCCTCCGACCACAGTGAACAAGGAAGGAAAGGACATAGTCCTCTTATGTTAAGACCTAACAAACTTCTGGGTTGGGCATGCTTGTTTGATACAAGTGATGCAGTGCGTGCTCTTGAAAAAGTAAAAGCTGCCTTGCCAAGTTATTTTCGCTTTATCTGTGTGTTCTTTGTGTGGTTATCATTGGGGTCCCTGTACTAGAGTTTGTTTTAATGATTCTGATTTATTTTTATGTATCAGTGTTTTGCATCCATGTAAGTATACCCGTACATGTGTTATACATCTATATCTCTATATAAAACTTGTGGCACTGTTAGCTGCCATGTGGGTACTGGGAACTTAACTTGAGTTGTCTGCAAGAGCAGCCATCTCTCCACCCCTCAACATGAGTTGTTTTTTTTCTTTTTTGAGACAGGGTCTCCCTTAGCCCCAGCTGGCCTGGAACTATGTAGACCAGGCAGGCTGTCCTCAAACTCACAGAGATCTGCCTGCCTCTGCCTCTCTCAAGTGCTGGGATTAAAGGCATGTGCCACCACCCCTGGCATGACATCACATTTTAATTCTAACAATTTTAGGGCTCAGTGTAGGGTTCTAATTCCATCTAGGACAAAATCTAGGACCCCAACTTTGAGATGTGCCACTCTGCCTCCTTGCAGCTTCCCTCAGGCTTGGGCATTTGGCTGCCTAGATTAGTGACAGTCCAGAGATGGAAAGGTCTCTTGGCAAAGTGGAGGAAGGGCCTAAGCAAGCACAGAGGAAACTTTGTGCACAAGCAAGGTAAAAAAACATCACGGGGATGATAAAGTATTACCTTGGTGTTCAGGAAATTTCAGAGCTTGAGAGTGAATGAGTCACACGCTTAGTATAGAGCCCTGATCTGCATTTTCATAGGTGTTCTGCACTTGAACACCTTCCTTCAAGGGGAATGGGCAAAGGGACAGACCTGGAATGCAAGAAACTTCCCCTGGGGCTGGAGAGATGGCTCAATAGCTAAAAGAGCACTGGCTGTTCTTGTAGATGATCACGTTCAGTTCCCAGCACCCACATGGCAGATAACAACCATGTGTAACTAGTTAAAAGGGACCAGACGACTTCTTCTCTGTGGGCACTCTATGAACTTGGTACACTTCCAGACATGCAGGCAAAACACTCATACACGTTAAAAAAGAAAAAAAAAAAAACCCCACAAACAAAAAAGATGAACCACCTCCTTAAGGACAGGGACTGAGCTTCTAAAGGACAAAAGGAAATAAGGTGAAACTGAGATCCATGGGGGGAAAAAAAATACAGTGGGGAAACTATTCTGGCTGGTCCAGAGATACCCTCACCTCTTTTTTCGGATTTTTGAGACAGTATGCAGTCCTGGAACCCCTAGAGATCCACCTGCCCCTGCCTCTTGAGTACTGGGATTAAAGGTATGTACCACTCCTGGCCCCACCCACACCCCTTTCAATATATTCTTTCCTGCCCCAGCTAAGGAAAAATAATTTAACATTTCGAAAGACACTTCCAAATCTCCACTTCCCTGACTCCCCAGGAGAAATCCGAGACTTTTACTTCCCCTTATGGATGTTCCCTTTGGAGGGGGTAGGAATCGGATTTGTTAATTCCTCACTAACTAGCACTGAGGTTAGAAATCTAAACAAAGAAATTCTTATTAGAGGGCCCTTATGGGATAGAACAGTTAGATCAGTTCTTAGGGCCTCAGTTTTTATACCTGGGCCAAATTAATGTCTATCCTGAGCATTCTGTTCCTTGGAGAAGGATGAGGATCAGAGGGCCACACTGGTTAGAATGACGCATCCAGGTGGGGAGGGGGGGTTGTCTTTGGTGCCAGATGTTAAATTCTCCAACCAGAACCCCAGATGGGATAGTAATGAAGTCCATGGGAATATATGCAGTGTCTGAGAGATCTATCAAAGGCAGGAAAGAACTGGTTCCTCAATCTCAAAGTATCAATAAGGCTTTTTAATATCTAACAAGGGGAAAAAGGGTTGGCTGAATTTTTTTTCTTTTTACTTTTTTTTTTTTGGCCTTTTTGAGACAGGGTCTCCCTTTAGCTCCAGCTGTCCTGGAACTCACTATGTAGACCAGGCTGCTGGCCTTGAACTCACAGAGATCCCCCTGCCTCTGCCTCCCAAGTGCTGGGATTAAAGGCGTGCGCCACCATACCCGGCATTTTTTTCTTTTTTTAAAGATAGACCAGATGAGAAAAATATTCTGGATCAAACCTGAAAGAATCCTTTGGCCAGAGAATAAACTACATTTTGAGACTAACAGCCAGATATTTATAGAAAGTGACAAAAAAGAAAAATTGGGACAGAGTGGCTTGATGTGATCCAAGGCAGTTACTTTTCTAACTGGGTAGAAGTTCCACACAAGCATGCTAAGATTTTTAAAAAGAACTATAACAAGTTGTTTTCTTCTTTTAATAATATTTTATTATTTTCATTTTATATGTATGAGTATATTGCCTGCATGTATGCTAAGTACATCAGTGTCATGCAATGCCTGTGGAAATCAGAAGAGGGCATCAGATTCCTTGGAACTGGAGTTACAGATGGTTGTTAGCTGCCATGTGGGTACGAGGAACTGAACCCAGGTCCTCTGCAAGAGCAGCAGTGCTCTTAACTGCTGAGCCATTGCTCTAGCCCTAACAAGTTGTTTTCTAAAAGGGTCACAGATCCTGATCTTGGCCTATGCCATGCTCCAATGGGAGAAAAATGGTAAAACTTATGGTCTCTCCTTCATTGGACTGAGATGGAATTCCTTCTATTTCTCTGCTTTGCTTTTTTGAGCCACGTATCTGAGGGCAATTTTTCCTATGGAAGTCTAACCTAACTTTGATATTTGTGTTTTGGTTTTTTTTTTTGTCTTTTTTGAGACAGGGTCCCCCTGTAGCCCCAGCTGTCCTGGAACTATGTAGACCAGGCCTGCCTTGAACTCACAGAGATCCGCCTGCCTCTGCCTGTGCTGGGATTAAAGGCATTGCCACCAAGCCCGGCAGATATTTGTTTTTTAAGAAAAGGAGCTGGCTCTTCACTCTTCACATTTAATGTGTGAGATTCATGAATCCCACAAGGACTCCTGTCCTGATGGGCCATGCACTCATTTTATAATGGAGCTGAGCTCACCACAGGCAAAAAGTAAGCATATGGCTTTGTTGCCATTTTGGCTGATGACCTTATCAAGATGGAGGCAACATGTGATCTGTTTGCCATCATGATAGCCATGTTACTTGGTAGCCATCTTGGTTAGTGATATTTTCTTTTTCTTTTAAATTTATTATTTTTATTTTATGTGTATGCATGTATTGCCTGTTTGTACGTAAGTGCACCCGTGCCGGACAATGCCCTCGGAGGTCAGAAAAGGCCATTAGATTCCCTCGGACTGGCGTTTTGGACAGTTAGCTTCATGTGGGTGCTGGGATTTGAACTCAGGTCTTCTGCAAGAACATCCAGTGTTCTTAACTATTGAGCCATCTCTCCAGCCCAGGTTAGTGATATTTTCAAAATGGTGTAGAATGTGCAACCTTGCCACCATCTTGCCTAAATGCAACTTACATGGCAGAAACCAAAATGGCAGCACTCAGAAACTTACTGATACTACTGAGCCCTCAGGAAATCATGGTACCCTGGCAATTTCCTGTACCACAGGCATTTAGTCATATGTCCCAATCTTTTCCAATTTTTCTTTTCTTTTTTCTTTTCACCTTTTTGGATTCTTAATGGGAATCAACAAATGGGAGCCCAGAGGAGACTCCAACATGGGCTCTTTTGCCATGTGATAAGGTCAACACATTTTCTTGTCCAACAGTAATACCAGACCTCAATGATGGGATTTTTGGATTTTGACATTATTTTGCATGATTTATTTGCTCATTTCTTTTTAATCCTTTAACTTTATTTTATGTGTATGCTTATTTTGATTGCATGTATATAAGGGCACCCATGAGTGTAATGGCCGTGGAGGCCAAAAGAGGACATTCAGATCTCCAGAAACTGGTATTACAGATGGTTGTTAGCTGCCATGTGCATGTTGGGAACTGAATCTGGGTCATGTGCAATAGCTGCCAGCGTTCTTAACTGCTGAGCCACCTCTCTAGTCCCTATTTATTGATTTCTAAAAGGGAATGTTTTAGACTTTGACATTGTTTTGCAGAATATATTTACTATTTTTGAGGCTGGAGAGATGGCTCAGCGGTTAAGAACACTGGCTGCTCTTGCAGAGGACCCAGGTTCAATTCCCAGCACCCACATGGCAGCTACAAACCATCCTTAACTCCAATTCCAGGGGATCTGACACCCTCTTCTGACCTCCGCAGCACTGCATGACATGGGTGCACTCACATACATGCAGACAATGCACTCATATACATTAAAAAATAATAAAACATTTTTTAAAAATTATATATATTTACTGCCAGGTGTGGTTCCAGCCTGGTCTCCATAGTGAATCCAGGCCAGCAAGGGCTACAGGGAGACCCTGTCTCAAAAAGACCAAAAAAAATAAATAAATATATATATACATACATATATATATTTATATATTTACAGACAGGCGTGGTGGTGCACTTCTGTAGTCCCGGCACTTGGGAGGCAGGCGGATCTCTGTGAGTTAGGCCAGCCTCTGGTCTACATAGTGAGTTCCCGAACAGCTGGGGCTACAGGGAGACACTGTCTCAAAAATTCCCAAAAAAAAAAGTGTGTATATATATATATTTGCTATTTTCTTAAGAGCTTTCCCAGTCATATGCCTCTAATATTAGCCAGCTACCACAGAGATGCTAGACCTAGGGCTCTCCTGTGATTTGCAGTAACCCAGGGCCTAGTCTTGGAAGAGGACAGATTTCAACCCCAACTCAAAAAATAATTTGCTAGATGCTAAACAAGCTGCTGCTGCTAGTGGGCAGATGCAGCAGTAAGAGGCAAAAAGGAACAGTCTGTTTGGGTAGGCTGGAGGTGAGGACTCCACTGGAACTCACAGAGATCTGCCTGCCTCTGCCTCCCAAGTGCTGGGATTAAGGGCATGCCTGTCATGCCCAGCTAATGTGGCTTTTCTAATCCAGGTTTAAAAAAAAAAAGGCTGATGGTTTTCTGCATTCAAGCCTGGACTAAAAACTGAAGTTAAAAAAAAAACAGTGGCCTAGCCAGGCATGGTGGCACACGCCTTTAATCCCAGCACTTGGGAGGCACAAGCAGATGATCTTTGTGAGTTCGAAGCCAGCCTGGTCTACATAGTGAGTTCCAGGACAGCTGGGGCTACAGAGAGACCCCAAAAAAAAAAAAAAAAAAAAAAAAAAAAAAAAAAAAAAAAAGAAAGAAACAGTGGCCTGCCGGGCGTGGTGGCACACACCTGAAGTCCCAGCATTTGGGAGGCACAGGCAGTTGAATATCTGTGAGTTCAAGGCCAAGATGGTCTACATAGTGAGTTCCAGGTCAGCTGGGGCTACAGGGAGACCCTATCTCAAAAAGACCAGAAAAAAAAAACTGGCCTCTGCTGGGAAATATTAGAGTATTATGTTACTCTACAACTGGATCTCTTCATAAGAAGGAGGGTAACTATTATTCAGGTTGTATGCCTACATTTACAGATACAAGCTGATTATAGGGAACAATATATACACAGATATATTATTACATAATCCTATGTACACACTTTGGATTCTACTTTCTTTTAATAATGATGTTACGTAGCACTATCTTCTAAGTCAAACAACTCTCATATTCGTAACTTAGAAGGAAGGGGTAAACAAGGACATGGAGACCACTCCTGAATATCTAGCCACTCCTTCCAGTCAGTTATACTCAATTTTGTCCTAATTGCTTTTGTGGTCTCATGGTCTTGGGAAGGAAGCAGGATGGGTAAGACTAGGGAAAGGGGGTACCACTCATGAGGTTATGGAGAAGTCATCATGCATGCTGGATGAAGACTTAGGAATGCAGCTGGTTTGGGGTCATCCAGTATCCATGCTTTCTAATAACCTCAATGAACTCATTGGTTCCCCAAGGTGAACTTCAATGGAATCAGACTTTGGTCTATCACTAAAACCTTATGAGGGGTAAACATTGCTTAGTACCACCAGGGAGAAAATTCTCACAACAGATGGTAAACTTATTTGTTAAGGTTATTATGTCTCATAGTATTAAGAAAGAAAACCACGGCCAGGTATAACAGCGCACGCCTTTAATTCCAGCACTTGGGAGGCAGAGGCAGGCAGATCTCTGTGACTTCCAGGACAGCCTTGTCTATATAGTGAGTTCCAGGCCATCTGGGGCTATAGGGAGACCCTGCCTCAAAAAGATAAAAGAAAAAAAAAAAAGGAAAACAGTAAGAAAATGAAGGATATGAAAATGTAAATATTTTTAGTAAAGGATTTTTGTATGAAGATTAGTAAGATGGTTGGATGTTTCCACAATGGAAAAGAAAATGAGAATGTTTATGCAAGTTATGCAGGTCTGAATACCTTTTTTTTTGTCTTTTTGAGACAGGGTCTTCCTGTAGTCCCAGCTGTCCTAGAACTCACTATGTAGACCAGGCTGGCCTTGAACTCACAGAGATCCACCTGCCTCTGCCTACAAGTGCTAGGATTAAAGGCGTGTGCCACCATGCTTAGCCTGAATATATTTCTTTAGGTATGTGAAAGATATTAGAGATGACATATAAATGATCATAAAATTTCAGCTGGGCATGGTGGCGCACGCCTGTAGTCCCAGCACTTGGTGGCAGAGGCAGGAGGATCTCTGTGAGTTCAAGGCCAGCCTGGTCTACATAGTGAGTTCTAGGACAGCTCGGGCTACAGGGAGACTGTCTCAAAAGGACCAAAAAAAAAAAAAAACCAAACCAAACAAAACAGTTCAAGGAACTGTACTCTCCAAACTTCAGCTTAAGTCCATATAAGATGTATTTTAATCTCTTTTGCCTTATGCAGTAGTTAAGTTCCAAGTCCTTATCTTCTGTCGCCAAATGCTTCCACGTGCTACACAGACCACTATTCTTTTTTTTTTTTTTTTTGAGACAAGGTCTCACTGTAGCCCCAACTGGCCTAGAACTCATTATGTAGACCAGACTGGCTTCAAACTCATGGAGATCCACCCACCTCTGCCTCCAAGTACTGGGATTAAAGGCATGCAGTCACCAAGCCTGGCTCCTTTTTTGGTCCTTTTGAATCCTGATCTTCCCAGTAGCCACAGCTGATCTGGAACTTACTTTGTAGACTAGGCTGGCCTTGAACTCACAGAGATCCACCTGCCTCTGCCTCCTCAGTGCTGAAATTAAAGGCATGCACCACACCTGGCTTTTTTTTTTTTTTCATTTCTTTTATTATTTTATGTGTATGAGTGTACTGTCTGCATGTGTTTGTGTGCCCATGTAGTGCAAAGCCCATGGATATCAGAAGAGGGTGTTAGATCCCCTGGAACTGGAGTTACGGACAGTTGGGAGATGCCACGTGGGTGTTGGAAATCGAATCTGGGTCCTCTGTAAGAGCAGCCCAGTGCTCTTAACCACTGAGCCATCTCTCCAGCCACACAGATCACTATTCTTTTTTTTGTTTGTTTTTCTTTTTGAGACAGGGTTTCCCTGTAGCTCCAGCTGGCCTGGAACTGGCTATGTAGGCTGGCCTTGAATTCACAGAGATCTACCTACCTTTACCTCCAGAGTGCTGGGATTAAAGGTGGGCCCCACCATGCCCAGCTCCTGCTATTCTTGTTTGGAAATCAGCAAAGAAACAGAAGGTCAAAACTCATTTGCAAAGTAGTTGCCAGCCTGAAAGAATACACCAGGACTTACCACTGCCTCTCTCCCTAGAGCAGACAGACTTGACGTTGTATGATGGTTGCCGTGGGTCCAAGAAGGAGACATGTGCTTGAGAACCTACTGCATACACTGACCATTCACTACCATAGGCCAGACACACATTCTCACGACAATATGGTAATTTGGTGGAAAGGAGCTGAAAAGAGAAGAGATGTATCCATAACCAGAGAGCATAAAACTGGGGTATTATTCTTGTTCTCCCATTTCTGTGGGCTGCTTCTTACACAAGCACTTGTCAAAGACAAAGACAAACTGTAGTTAGCAAAATGACTTCTGAGTTAGGGAAAAGGTAAATGTTGAATTAAATATGAGAATGGCAGGGAAAGTCAAGAACTACGGATTATTTCCGTAGTTCAGTAAAGTCAAAGTTTCACCCTGTTCTTTCTGCAGGATAAGCTATCACCTTCCTTGTTGCTCTTCAAATTCAGGGACTGATTTCTGACTACCCCTCAACAAATTCCTCAAAGGAATGGGAACTATATATATACTACAGAAAGTAGACTCTTAGGACTGACTTCATTCCAAATAACCTGAATCAGTCTTAATCCTTGACCCTCGTGGCCTGGCAAACCTACATTTGCTGCCTACTATGCAATAGCTAAGGTCAGTGGAGACCAAAGCTGCTATGACATAAAGGAATTATTAACTCCCAGAGCCTCATTTCATCTTAAGCCACAAATATAACTAGGAGAAGACACAAAGATCCACATGTTTGCTTCATTGTACAAAAAAGTTGCTAGTGGGGCTAGACAGATGGTTAAGAACACTTGCTGCTCTTCCAGAGATCTTTGTTCAGTTCCCAGAATACACATAGCAAATCACAACTATCTGTAACTCCAGGTCTAGGGGAATCCAATGCCCTCTTCTGACCTCTGCAGGCACTGCATGACAGGGGTACACTAACATAGTAACACAACTAACAGGCAATACACTCATAAAAACAATAAAATATTTTAAAAAGAAAAACAGCCAGAGAGGTGGCTCATCAGTTAAAGGTAGTTGTTTTTCTTGCATAGGACCTGAGCTCAGTTCCCAGAATCCACATGATGGCTCACAACTACCTGTAACCAGGTGTTCCAACATCCTTTTCTGGCTTCTGAGAGTGCCTACATGCATGAGGTACACATTAAAAAAATTAAGCCAGGCATGGTGGCGTACACCTTCAATCCCAGCACTCGGGAGGCAGAGGCAGGCAGATCTCTGTGAGTTCAAGGCCAGCCTGGTCTACATAGTGAGTTCCAGGACAGCTGGGGCTACAGGGAGACCCTGTCTCAAAAAGACAAAAAATAAATAAAAATGAATCTTTAAAAAAAAAAGAGAAACGAGTCAGGCATGGTGGTGTACGTCTTTAATCCCAAGCACTCAGGAGACAGAACCAGGTGGGGTGGGTCTCTGTGAGTTGAAGGCCAGACTGGTCTACATAGTGAGTTCCAGGCCAGCTGGGGCTACAGAGAGGCCCTGTCTCAAAAAGACCAAAAAATAAAAATAAAAAACAAAGCAAAGAATACTGGGTATGGTGGTTCTTGCTTATAATCCTAGCGTTTGGGAGGCTGAAGCAGGATGATCATTGATTTGAGGGCAACCTGATTACATAGAAGAGTTCTAGGCCAGCTCTGGCTACAAAATAAAACCCTCTCTAAAAACAAAACAAAAAAACAAATAACAAGAATAAAAAAAACCCCACTCTAGCCAGGTGTCGTGGTGCACGCCTTTAATCCCAGCACTCGGGAGGCAGAGGCAGGCGGATCTCTGTGAGCTCAAGGCCAGCCTGGTCTCCCTAGTGAATCCAGGACAGCTGGGGCTACAGGGAGACCCTGTCTCAAAAAGACCCCCCCAAAAAAACAAAAAAACACCCCACTCTATTTTCTCATTATTTTACATGATTATTAGGAGATGGCTTATCTTAGTTTGATCTTTAGTTGCCATGGACTCCAAACATTTAGTTTCTTCTACCTTACAGGCTGTCAAGTAGTCAATAATCTATAAACAATTGCTTAAATACTCTGTAGAAAGGAGGACAATTAAATGAGCTCTGCAATTGAGATCTCTTTAAAGACTTCCCCTGGTGGTAGACTGGGGAGGTAGAGGCAGGGGAATAAGAAGTTCAAAGGTCAGCAAGTTCGTAGCCAGTTTGGGCTAAATGAGATCCTGTCTGTCCTCCTTATTTTGGAATTTTATTTTATGTGTATGAGTGCTTTGCCTGCGTGCATGTGAGCGCAACGCAAGCAGGTAATGCCCTTGGAGACCAGAGAGGGGGTCTGATCTGCTAGAACTGGAGTTAAGGATGAGTGTTAGCTACCATGTGGGTACTAGAAACCAAACACAGGTCCTCTGCAAGAGCAGTAATTGCTCTTAACTGCTGAACCATCTCTCCAACTCTGTTTTTTTGGTACACGGTTTCACTATGAAGCCCTGGCTGGCCTGGAACTCAAGAGATTTGCCTGTCTCTGCCTCTCAAGTGCTAGGATTAAAGGCAACACCACACCCAGCAAAATCCTGTTTTTATTTTTATTTTTTTGTCTTTTTCATACCTCCCGAGTGCTGAGATCAAAGGTGTGCACCACCATGCCCGGCTAAAGTCCTATCTTTTTTTTTTTCCTTTTTTTTTTTTTTAGAAAAAAGGGGTTGGAGAGATGGCTCAGTGGTTGAGAGCCCTGGCTGGTCTTACAAGGACCTGGATTCAAATCTCAGCACCCACATGGTGGCTAACAACTGTCTATAACTCCAATTCTGGGGGATCCAATACCCTCTTCGGTTCTCTGTGAGCACTGCACAACATGGCTGCATTTACACACATGCAGGCCTAACACTCATACACATAAAATTTAAAAAAGAAAAACTTTCTAGGCATTTTAGTACCTGTCAGTAATCCCAGTCCTTGAGAAGTATTATAGAAGCAAGATTTCTCAAGTTTAAGGCCAGCCTAAGTTACACAGAGAGACCTTATCTTACAAAAAGACTGACAATATTTTTAATTTATCATAAATTATCAGATAAAACTATCAAGTCACATTTAGCACACCTTAGACAATGTATTTTCAGCCTTCCAGAGATGAAAGTAGCCATCCAAAGATACTGCTCCCAGTTCCTATAAGAACAGAGAAAAGTATGCTGTAATACATTCTGTAGCAAACTAAAAGGACCAGAATATACAGAGGAAGAACCAGAGGTTGGGAGTCTTCTTGGCCTCCACTCCTATCCCTCTGTGCTCACTGCAAAGGTGCTGGTAATTAGCAGCCTTCACTTTACCCTATGGACTGTAGTTGGATAGCATACTGAATTTCCAAAAGCAAGTCCAGTTTCTAACAGTGAATACACACAGACACACACCAGTAGTTCAAAAAAATCCTTCCTATGCCATGATTTCCCTGATCCTATCAGATTGTTAGGGCAGAGCTCACAAGTAAAGGGTAGTTTTCTTCAGTGTCAATATGAGAGCTAAACCAGTCTGGTGGTTTGAATGAGAATTTCCCACACAGGCTCCAAGTATTTGAACCAACTTGGTGGCACTGTCTGGGGAGGGTCATGGAACCATTAGGAGGTGTGGTCATGCTAGAGAAAGCATGTCACTGGGGGCTGGCTTTGAGAGTACATAGCCACATCCCATTTCCAGTTTCTCTCTGTTTTCTGTGACTGCTTAAAGATGTGAATGCTCAGCCTTCTGCTCTGGCTGCCGCCTGATATGCCTCCCACACCAAGATGGACTCTCATCCCTCTGAACCGTAAGTGCAATAAACTCTTTTATATGTTGCCTTGGTCATGGTGTTTTATCACAGCAACAGAAAGTAACTAATACATATAGAGAGAAATCTACTTCCAGCCAGAAACATGGATGGGAACAGGAGGCTAAAGAATAATCTTTTAGCCGCCATGATAGCACATGCCTTTAATCCCAGCACTCAGAAGGCAGAGGTAGGCGGATCTCTGAGATATCGAGGCCAGCCTGGTCTCCATAGCAAATCCAGGCCAGCTGGGGCTACAGGGAGACCATGTCTCAAAAAGACACCCCCCCGCAAAAAAAAGAATAATCTTTCAGGGGCTGGAGAGATGGCTCAGCAGTCAAGAGCACTGATTGCTCTTGCAGAGGACCAGGGTTCAATTCCTAGCACCCACTGACATGGTGGTTAACAACCACCTGTAGCTCCAGTTCCAGGGGATCTAATGCCTTCTTTTGACCTCCGAGGGCACTGCAGGACACAAGTGTACTTACACACACACAGGCAATACACTCATACACATAAAATAAAAATAATAAATGAGGGGCTAGAGAGATGGCTCAGCAGTTACAAGCACTGACTGCTCTTGCAGAGGACCTGGGTTCAATTCCCAGCACCCACATGGCGGCTACAAGCCATCTTTAACTCCAGTTCCAGGGGAATCTAAAGCCCTCTTCTGACCTCCGTGGCACTGCACGACACAGGTGCACTCACATACATGCAGGCAATACAGGCATACACCCAAAATAAAAATAATAAAGCCAGGCGTGGTGGGTCGCGCTTTTAATCCCAGCACTCAGGAGGCAGAGGCAGGCGGTTCTCCGTGAGTTCCAGGCCAGCCTGGTCTACATAGTGAGTTCCAGGACAGCTGGGGCTACAGGAAGACCCTGTCTCAAAAAGACCAAAACTAAATAAATAAAATATTAATAATAAATATATTTTTAAAAAAGAATAATCTTTCAGTGGGGCGTGGTGGTGCACACTTCTAATCCCAGCATCCCAACACTCAGGAGGCAGAAATACAGGTATACAGGTGGATCTCTGAGTTTGGGGGTCCAGCCTGGTCTACATAGCAAGTTCCAGGCCACCTGGGGCTATAGGGAGACCCTGTCTCAAAAAGACCAAAAAGAAAAACAACCCCCACAAAAACCACCTTTCAAACTGGGGCCTTTTTCATCATGAGCAGAAGCCTTGTTCCTTTTCTGGCTCTGGCTCTACATTCTTAAGATTTTGCTTTAAACCTGTGTTAAGAGATCTGACACTGTGATTAGGGACAACTTGGTGGCAAGGGTAAGGCAAAGGAGGCAGTGAAGAATGAGAAGGAACTTGAAAAGCTGGGCATGGGGGAGGAAATGGGGGCCAGCTTGGTCTACATTATGAGCTCTAGGCCAGATGGGGCAACAGGGACCCTGTGTCAAACTAAAACAAAACAACCACAACAAAAAAACTTCAAAATAAATGAAGTACTTTTAGAGGTTAAGTATGAAAAATCACACCAAAATAGAGCACCTGAAAAGGCTTGTGCAAATGAGAAATTGTCAGATTAGAGAAGCCTCAGGGAAGTTAGGAGCAGGACCACAGATATTGCAGAGATCCAAGGGTGGGCTTTATAGCCTCATAAACTCTTACCAGTGTTCCTTGGCCTTTAAGAGGTGGTCTGTGGGCTTAGAGGCAGACTATGCAGTGAGCACTGCCATGAGGAGAAATATTCCCAAGACAAAGGTCAGAAGTAACAGGCTTCTGCAGTCCCTTAAGTTCTTACCTTGTTCTTGTTGTTAAAAGCTAGAGCCCGGACCTTGCAGTTGTCAGGGTTTGTATCCTCCTTAGGGATGTCCTTTAAGGCCTTGTGAGTGATATGAGCATACGTAGGGACCCGTGACACATTGTGCCTTTCATCACTTTTGGTTAACACATCATCTGTCACCTCCCAGAGTCCCATGGAACCATCACGTGAACCTGCAGGGTGGGAGACTCAAATGTAGGATAAATTTGACCCTGCATGGGACAGTCCCACAGAAGCCACCACGGGCTTTTCTTCATCCTTAACCTCCTCACTGGCACTGAAGCTTGGTTAGGAGTCCTACCCCAAATATAGTACAATATGCTTTGTTGTTGTTGTTTTGTGATAGGATCTCACTCTGTAGCCTAGGCTGGCCTCAAAGTCACAGCAATCCTGCTGCCTCAGCTTCCTGAGTGCTATTATTACAGGTGTGAGCAATCACGCCTAGTTTTGGACTTATTTCTCTATAAAAACAATAAAAACATTATATCCAATTTCAGAGAGGTCCATGAGCTCACTTAAAGGTTTACACGGACTCACAGCAACCATAATGTCTTTCCAAGAATGAGGAACCAGAGGCAGACTTTGAGGCTAGCCTACCTACAGTTCCAGGCCAGCCAGAGTAACACAATGACACCCTGTCTCAAAAACGAGAGAAAGAGAAAGAGAAAAAGAGAACAAAAATAAATAAAGGTAATTAAAGAAGAGAAAAGGGGGGCTGGAGAGATGGCTCAGCGGTTAAAAGCATTGACTGCTCTTGCAGAGGACCCAGGTTTGAGTCCCAGCACCCACATGGTGGCTCCAAACCATTCTTAACTCCAGTTCCAGGGGGAATCCGAGGCCCCCTTCTGATCTCCGATGCATTGTACGACATGGGTGCACTCACGTCTTTTTGAAGCAAGGTCTCCCTGTAGCCCCAGCTGTCCTGGAACTCACTATGTAGACCAGGCTGGCCTTGAACTCACAGAGATCTGCCTGCCTCTGCCTCCCAAGTGCGCTACCACACCCGGCAATAAATAAAATTTTTTTTTAATTTAAAAGAAAATTTAAAAAAAAGAAATGTTCAATCCTTGGAAAAATGAAATGACAGGAAATCCAGAAGTGTCTGAGCTCCTTTCTGAGTAATTTGTTGTTCTTTCTGAGTAATTTAGATCTTTATTAGATTTATTTTCCTTTCTGGCCTTACTTTCTACTGCCTTACTAAGAACCCAAAGAACACACTGATGTATCCTTAGCTTTCTAAGTTCTATGAATGGGTTCTGAAGTCAAACAGACCTGAATTCAAACCACTGATCTACCTATCTGTCTCTGTGGCCACTGAAAGTTATAACTTCTCTACATCTAAATGTCACCCGTGAAATGAGGTAATAATGCAAACCTTGTAATGTTATTCTGACAATTACATAAGATACCTATGTAAAGTACTTAGTTTAGTGACTATTATGACTATTTTTCTTGTAACTCTGAAATGAGGGGGGTTTAGGGGAGGAAAAAAAGCCAAAGAAAACAGAAAAATTTAATGCTATAAAATTGTATAGAAAATAAAATAATTGCTTCTATATTAGAGAACATATCAACCTCTCCAAAACACCTTCACAACCATTAAATCTCGATGAAGCTCTAGAAAAGAGTTGCAGGCACCAAGAAGATAGCTCTGTTGATAAAGTGTTTATGGTATAGGCATGAGGACCTAAATTCAATCTCCCAGAACTCACGCATAAGACAGACATGGTGGCACACACCTGTAACCTCAGCAATAGGGAGGTAGAAACAGGAGGATCTCTGGGGCTTATTAACCAGTCTAGCTGAATTAATGAGCTCCAGGGTCAGTGAGAGACCTTGTCTTAAAAAATAAAGTGGATCTAGTAAGATGACTCAGTGGGACTAATGACTTGAGTTTGATCCCTGGATCTACAAGGTAGCAGAAGAGAACTTCTGAAAATTGTCCTCTGATACCACAGGTGTACTGTGGGACACCTGTATCTGCACTTGCACATCATACACAAGCATGCACATGCACACATGCACAGACAATAAGGGTAGGGGCTGGAAAAATGGCTCAGCAGTTAAAAGCACCAGCTGCTCTTGCAGACGACTTGGGTTCAATTCCCAGCACCCACATGGCAGCTAACAGGCGTGGTAGTACATGCATTTTTTTTTTTTTAAGATTTATTTATGCTGGGCTTGATGGCACATGCCTTTAGTCCCAGCACCCAAGAGGCAGGGGCAGGCAGATCTCTGTGAGTTCAAAGCCAGCCTGGTCTACATAGTGAATCCAGGCCAGCTGGATTCATTTGCTTGCAAGTATGTATGTGCACTACTTGTGTGCTTGGTGCCTGTGGAAGCTAGAAAAGGGTGCTAGAGATTCCCTGAAACTGAAACAGATGATTGTAAACCTCCACGTAGTGCTGGTAACTGAACCTGGGTCCTTTGCAAGAGCAACAAATGCTCCCAACCACTAAGCATCTCTCCATCTCCCTAACCCCTATGCATGCTTTAATTCCAGCAATCCAGAGGCAGAAGCAGGTGGATCTGAGTTCAAGGTCTGCCTAGTCTACATAACAAGTTCTGGGTCAGAGACCCTTTCTCAAAAACAAAAACAAAAAAAGAAACAAAATCTAGGCCAGCTAAATGGCTGTGGGTAAAAGGGCTTGCCATGCAAAGTCTGACAACCTGAGTTTGATCCCAGGAACTGATGGCAGAAGGAGAAAACCAGCTTCTGAAAGCTATGCTCTGGCATCCATTTAAGTGCCACGACCTGAGCATCCTTGTTCTCAGGCACACATTATACACATACACAAGACAAACAGGGAGCAATAATGACTAAACATAATCTCCTAAACTGATTATACAGGCTCATGCATATAATATCAGCACTTAGAGGAGGCTGAGGCAGGGGGAATTGTCAGAAGTTTAAGCTTAGCCTGGACCATACAGTGAGTTCCAGGTTAACTTTGGCTACAATATGAGACCCTGTCTGAAAAAAAAGCAGGGGGAGTGCTAGATGGTTTATTGTTCTCAAGGCCCTGGTTTCAACCAAGCACCACAAAAACACAAAGTAAGATCTCCTGGCCCCTGGTCATATTATATAGTGGGCTATTTTTTATCACACTACTGTAATTTTTAACTTTCCTCTCTGCCACACCAAAGTTCCTAAAGGAGGGCAACTTTACCAGACACTGCCATAGTATCGTTGATCCATGCAATGGAAAAGATCCAGTCTTTATGTCCATCCTTAGAGGGGAAAGTGACAGGTACATAGAGGAAAGAAGAAAAACCAAAAAAGACATTGGTGAATAATGGCTATAAAGAACTCTCAAGAACCATACAGGTCTGACCTGAAAATACTTTTGTAAAAAATATAAATAGGAATAATGGCACTAACCTATAATGCTATCACCGAGAAAGCTGAGATAGGAGGATCCCAAGTTCTAGGCCAATTTAGGCAACACACAGAGACCCTGCTGGCAAGATTATTCAGTGGTTAACAGTGCTTGCTGCCAAGCCTGACCACCTGAGCTCTATCCCCAGAACCCATGTGGTAGGAGGACTGACTCCTGAAAGTCATCCTCTAATTTCTTCTACACATGCACCTTCACATGCACAAATACACATATACGCACAAATATCAACAAATAAAACATGGCCTCTAAAATCTCAACCCATGAAGCAATATCCCACACTATTTTTGGAGAATCAAAGGTAGAACAAAACTGGCACTATGCAAAGCTCTGGCCTTCTCCCTCCGATGTCTTATCTGGGCTGTCTTCTGCCTAGAATACTCTCATGGCTTGTTTCCATGGTTGCTTTAAGTGTAGACGTGTATTGCCTGCATGTAGGTAAGTGCATCTGTGTCATGCAATGCCTGCAGAGGTCAGAAGAGGCTGTCGGATCCCCTGGGACTGGAGTTACAGACAGTTGTTAGCTGCCATGTGGGTACTGTGATTCAAACCTGAGTCTTCTGCAAGAACAACCAGCGTTCTTAACCACTGAGCCATTTCTCCAGCCCCAGTAATGACTTTTTTAATGGACATAATCTGAACTAATGACTTTTAATCAACCCCAACAAAACCATGTGCTCTTGGGTCTGATGACCTGGGGTCTCCTTGGCAAACTCGGTTGGTGCTCCAAGATAATGAATAACTGTGGGTATACTTGAAACTAACATATCAAAGCACTACAAGGTGGCATACCATCTCTATTGAATACAGTGGTGATTGGGAAGGACGCATGACCTTGGATGAATGAGATAATCTAGAACTAGGAATGAAAAGGCTGGATGGTCTGTTAAGATGAGGTGGAGCCAAGCTTGTACTTCCCAGATTGAAACTGGAGAAGCCATTTTGAATAAAATTATGCATGGGGCCAGGCTGGAGGACACAGTTCTAGAAACATAGTTCCAGAGAAAGTTCTATCAGTATAGCTCCCAAAGATAGCTGGTTCTAAGAGACATCTAGGGGAATGTGTATCCTCCAACTCTTACCAAATTTTAGAGTGAGGTTTTTAATCTGTTCAGGTGATCAAATGTTGATGTACTAATGCCACATCCCTGCTCAAATGATATCTTACCAGGCTTTCTCTGACTACCCTCTGAAATAGCCTCTTCTTACTCTCTAACACTTTGGCCTGCTGGTACTCCTTCCTATATTACACTGACATGTTACTGACAGTTATTGGTCTATATTATCTGGTTGTGCTGCTGGTTTACAAGTGACCTTCAGCTATACTGAAGGCAAGGGTTTTATTGGTTTTGTTCATTGCTCTGTTCCCAGGGCCAAAAACAATGCCAGACCATTGAAGTTGGTGAATGAATACTTTAATAAATTTATTTTCTGACTGTGCAATGGGAGATATGTAGACTCTGAATTGAAAAACAATCCACTATTGTTGACCATAAAGACCTGCTACTTTTATCAAACATATACTCTAGTAGTGACCTATGGATTCCAGTTTCCATTCTCCTATCTCTTTTCCATCCCTCATCCCCATGTCCCTGGGTCAGGAGAAATCTAGCGAAAACCATTCCTTCCCAGATATGGAGAGGGTCCACATTACCTACTGGACCACGTTTGAAAACAAACTTACATCACCAACACACACAGGATCTAGTGTGGGTAACCGATAGATGGCCAGACTGTTCGGGTTGTCTCCTCCAGTGGCTAGAAGTGTTCTAGATGGATTCAGCTCAATTGCATGAATACCACAGCCCTGCTGAGTCAAACATCCAGGTTCTCGATCTTTCAGAATGGGAATCTTGGTGATCTGGCCTGTCTGGACATCCACTACAAAGAGCTACAAGACAAAAGAGACACACAAACTGAAAGTTTCTATTTAATGTGCCAGCACTAGATACAAATATCCATTTGTGCTGGGCGTGGCAGTACATGCTTTTAATCCCAGCACTCCAGAGGCAGAGGCAGGTGGGTCTCTGTGTTAAAAAAAAATATTTTGCCGGGCATGGTGGCGCACGCCTGTAGTCCCAGCACTTCAGAGGCAGAGGCAGGCGATTTCTGTGAGTTCAAGGCCAGCCTGGTCTACATAGTGAGTTCCAGGACAGCTGGGGCTACAGGGAGACCCTGTCTCAAAAAGACCAAAAAAAAAAAATAAAATAAATTTTATTATTTTATGTGTATAAATGTGTTGTGTGCCTGTATGTAGTAGGTATGCCCATGTTGTACAATGCCCATGGAGGTAATAAGACGGTGTTGGATCCCCTGGAACTGGCGTTACAGACAGTTAACTGCCATGTGGGTGCTGGGATTCAAACCTGGGTCTTCTACAATAGCCAGTGCTCTTAGCCAAGCCATCTCTCCAGTCCCAATCTTTTTAAAAAATTCTTTTTATTATATTTATTTGAATGTGTGTAGATCAGAGGACCACTTGCAAGAGTCAATTCTCTCCTTGCACTATGTGAGTCCTAGGTACTTTACACAGGTCATCAAGTTTGGAGGCAAACACCTTTACCCATTTGAGCCATCATGCCAGCCCTTCAATCTGCTTTCTTTTCTTTTAAATGAGCTAAATGTCTTATTTGTTCATTTCTTGCATTTGAAGTACTCTTCAATGACATTCTTGGCCTAAAACTCTGTCATAATCCTTAACCACTACACAACTGCACCTACCACTTTATGGGGTTTCCCCTCTAGATTAACTTTGCAGAGGTCTCTCTGTAGCCCCAGATGGCCTGAAACTCACCTATGTGGACCAGGATGGCATCAATTTCACCTACTTCCGCCTCCTGAGTGCTGGGACTAGAGGCATGCACCACCACACATGGCTCTTTTTTTAATAAATTTTTAAAATTATGTGTATGTGTGTGTGTACACATAGGTGCAGGTGTCCACAGAGGCCAGAGACATCGGATCCCCTGGAATTAGAGTTACAGAGAATTGTGAGCCACCAGACCTGGGTGCTGGGAACTGAAGTCAAGTCCTTTGGAAGGGCAATGCATGCTCTTAATCACTGAACAATCAATCTTTCCAATCCCTCCCCAAGTTTCTTAAAAAATATGGAATGCTTTGTAAATTTGGGGCCATGCTAATCTTCTCTGTATCATTCTAATTTCAACTTATGTTGCTGATGAAGCAAGCATTCAATCTTCTTTCTTATCTATACCACAGTGTTTAGCATAAAATGGGTGCTTAACCAAGTATCTGTTAATTGCAGTGCATTGTGAGCACATAGCTAGAGTATCAGCACTTGGGGAAGTAGAGGCAGGAAAAGTCTGAGGCCACCTGGGCTAGAAGAGATCCTATATTAAAAATCAAGGCAGGCTGCCAGGTGTGGTGGTGCACTCCTGTAGTCCCAGCACTTGGGAGGCAAAAGCAGGTGGATCTCTGTGAGTTCAAGGCCTGCCTGGTCTACATAGTGAGTTCCAGGAGAGCTAGGGCTACAGGGAGACCGTTTCAAAAAAAAAAATCAAGGCAGGAGGTTCTTCAGTGACTGTCATGCCCTGTGAGCTCCTAGCAGTCTACAAAATAAATGTTTTCTTTCCAAAAGCAACCAAAGGGGCTGAGAAATGACTCACCAGTTGAGAGCACTTACAAGCAGCTCTTACAGAGGACCCAGGTTTGGTTCCCAGCACCCATATGGCAGCTCTGGCCCAGCTCTTCTAGTCTCAGTACACATAAATGCAGGCAAAAACTTGCATACAAAAAATACAAATAAACCTTTAAAAAATAATATATTTTAAAATTTATGTGTATCTGCGTTTCTGTGTGTAGGTTTGTGCACATATGAAATGTTAAGGTTTCTTTTTCTTTTTTAAAATTTATTTGTATGAGGGCTCAAAAGTTAAGGAGTCCTGGCTTGCAGAGGACCGCGGTCTGGTTCTAGCACCCTCACAGCTGCTAACCACCCACCATGAGTAACTCCAGCTCCAGGGGATCCAATGTCCTCTTCTGTCCTCCATGGGCACTTCATGACATGGGTGCACTTACATACATGAAAAAACATTCATACACATAAAGTTTTTAAAACTTTATTAATATTTTATGTGTATGATTGTTTTATCTACATGTATGTAAGCACATCATACATGTGCAGTGCCCACAGAGGCCAGAAGAGGGCACTGGATCCTCGGAACTGGAGTTTTTTGGACAGTGGTTAGCCACTACATGGTGATGCTGGGAACCAAGAACAGCAAGTCCTCTTAACCACTGAGTCATGTCTCCAGACCCAAGAAAGGTTACTAAATTAAATGAAAAACATTTCCTATGGTAAGGCAGAAAAACTGAGATGTCTTGGTATTTAAAGACTCAGGAAATCAAAATCATATCCCCATCCTTACCCTCATACTTGCAGCAGAACAGCCAAGTGCCATGTATAAGTCAGGATTTCCTACTTCTTTGGAGGGAAGCCCAAGGATGTGATGAACTGCCACAGAACTGCTATACATCCTGACAAGGGGCTGAGGCTTCATGCAGATCCCTGTTATACACCTCAAAGTGAGGCTGCTCTATATTAACCTATCAGGATCTGTGCCAGAAACTGGCAGCAGAGCAAGGGAAGCCTGAGGCTCTGGCTCCTTGAACCTCCCCATCTGGGAAAGGGAGAAAAGCAAAGGTTGTTGCTGAGGACTATCAAAGATGAGTGAGCCAATCTCCATACATATACATGTGCAAGTACAGACAGATACCAAAGCTCTACTCACAAAACAAAGTGGCTTAAAAAGGAACACGGAGCCTCACAAAGCTACTAAAAATTAGGGTGTTCTTTCTAGAATGGAATCTAGAACAGAAAGGAAAGCAAATGCATGCAGGTCCCCAAGACATTAAGATAAACGATACTACAGTCAGAGAGAGGGCAGGAGAATCCACTCTTATCCCAATCTGAAAACCTAAGTAGCAAATCAGAGAGCCAAGACCAAGAAACACAACAGAAAGCATTCTATGTGTCAAAAATGAAAAATAAGTGGTTAGTTGTCTCACTGCTGAAAAAAATACCTAACAAAAGGCAACTTAGGAAGGGTTTATTTTGGTTCATAGTTCCAGGGAAGTCACAGCAGCAGGAGCTTGAGGTAGCTAGTTAAATTGTAGCCACAGTCAAGAAGCAGAGAGAGATGAATGCTAGCGCCCAGCTTCTTTCCATCCAATACAGTACCTCCGGCTATGGAATGATATTGTCCCACACAGACATGTATTGCAATTTGGAATAATGAGGGCTGAAGAGTTTTGTTCTTTCCTGGATCTCACTACATAACACCAACTGGCCTGAAACTCACAGAGATCAGGCTTTCTCTGTCTCCTGAGTACTGGGATTAAAGGCATGTACCACCTTGCCTGGCCAATCTCCATCCTTTAATTTGATAAAACAACACCTTTCCAAATTAGTCAACAAACTTTTTTTGTCTTTTTGAGACAGGGTCTCCCTGTAGCCCCAACTGACCTGGAACTTGCTACGTACGCCAGGATAGCCTCGAATTCACAGAGATACACTTGCTTCTGCCTCTGGAGTGCTGGGAATAAAGGTGTGGGCCACTATGCCTGGCTTGTTTTTTGAGACATCTTATGTAGTGCAGGCTGTCCTCAAACCTGCCGTGCAGCAGAAGATGACTTTGAACTCCTGATCCTCCTGCTCTTCTCTCTTTCCAGTGCAGGATTATAGGTGTGTGCAATGGTGCCCAGTTCTCTACATAATTTTTAATGACTATAACGTAGTTCACTACATATACACTAGCATTTATCAAATGCATTCTCTATTGTTGAACATTTATACTATGTTCACATTTTTTAAGAAAAAAATTTTAAGACCTGTTTACATGTATGTTTTATCTTCATGCGCTAGATTCCCTAGAACTCAAGTTATAGATGGATGTTAACCACAATATGGGTGCTGGGAACCGATCCTGGGTCCTCTGCAAAAGCAACAGCAAGTGCTCTTAACCACTGAGCTATCTCTCCGGCCCTAGCTTTTTTTTTTTTTTTTTGGTCTTTTTGAGACAGGGTCTCCTTGTAGCCCCAGCTGTCCTAGAACTCACTATGTAGACCAGGCTGGCCTTGAACTCACAGAGATCCACCTGCCTCTGCCTCCCAATTGTTGGGATTAAAGGCGTGCGCCACCACGCCTGGGCCCCCCCATAGCTCTTACTTTTATGAAACAGGGTTTCATGTAGTCCTGGCTGGGCTGGTGTAAAACTTGGTGGTCTACATAGTAAGTTCTAGGCCAGCCAGGGCTACAAAGTGAAACTGTCTCAAAAAAGAAATAACAAAAAAAGATTGTAGCCCCCTTCAAAGAGAACCGAGGGGCTAGAGATGACTCAGCAATTAAAATCTCAGCTAGATGACTAGCTGCTGTTGGAAAGGACCCAAGTTCACATCCCAGCACCCACACGGTAGCTTCACAGCCATCTGTTACTCCAACTTCAGGGGATTCAATGCCCTCTTTGGATCTCTGGGCACCAGGCATGCACATAGTACACACATATACATGCAGGCAAATGATTCATACATATAAACTAAAAATAAATCCTTTAAAAACAAACCAGGACTGGAGAGATAGCTCAGCAGTTAAGAGCACTGGCTGCTCTTGCAGAGGACCTGGATTCAATTCCCAGAACCCACATGGGCAACTAACAGCTATCTGTTAACTCCAGTTCCAGGGGATCCAATGCCCTCTTCTGGCCTCTGCAGGCATTGCACAACATGCACTTATATACATGCAGGCATAACACTCATACACATAAAATAAAAATAAATCAGCTCGCTGGGCATGGTGGTGCGTGCCTTTAATCCCAGCACCCAGGAGGCAGAAGCAGGTGGATCTCTGTGAGTTTGAGGCCAGCCTGGACTCCACAGCAAATCCAGGCCAGCTAGGGCTACAGGGAGACCCTGTCTCAAAAAGACCAAAAATAATAATAATAATAATAATAAAAATAATAAAATAAATAAATAAATAATAAAATTTTGCCAGAGGCAGGTGGATCTCTGTGAGTTCAAGGCCAGCCTGATCTACATAATGAGTTCCAGGCCAGCTGGGATTAAAGGGAAATCCTGTCTCAAAAAAGACCAAAAAAAAAAAAGGAGGTTTTGTAGAGGCTTGCTACTACCATCTAGATTTTTTTGTTGTTGTTGTTTTTGTCTTTTTGAGATAGGATCTCCCTGTAGCCCAGCTAGCCTGGAACTCACTATATAGACCAGGCTGGCCTCAAACTCAAAGATCTGCCTGCCTCTGCTAGGATTAAAGGCTTGTGCCACCATGCCTGGCCTAGTTTTGAAAGGACTCTGTGTAAGACAAACAACCTTCAACAGAAGAGGAAGTGAAAAACTGGCCTCAGCCACATTAGTATTATTTCCTTCCTCAAAGCTGTTTAAAATTTTGCCTATGTTCTTTATAAAGATACTTCTCCTAGTACTAAGATTGTCAATATTTTTTTCAAAACATCTTATTTATACTTAGGGAGGTGTATACACACATCACAGAAGCATGTGGAAGTCAACTTGTGGTTCTCGTATTATGTGGGTTTTGGAACTCAGGTTGTCGGCCCATATCCTTTAAGCACCCACTCACCCCTACCATTTCAGTAGACCAGACTAGGCTTGAACACACAAAGATCTGCCTACCTTTTCCTCCCAGGCCAGTCTTGAACACACAGAGATCAGCTTGCCTCTAGAGTACTGGGAACAAAAGTGTCTGCCATCACTCCTGGCCCAAGATTTTCTTGATGAAACCTTCTAAATAATTTGCTACATTGGTCCAGGGTCAATTTACTCACTGCTTTCACATTACCTGTCTATATATACCAGGTGAGGTAAAAATGGAGGGAGTTAATGATTATTCACCCAACACCAAGTTCTATCTCTCCTATTTACCACTCCTGTGGCATCATGCTGTTTATGCCTTCAGTTCCAATCATATCTACTCTTTGATTCATTTTATTCCTGACTGTGACTGTGTTGGTAACACAGCTTACTGATAAATTTTTCCCTTTGTTCACTTATAACTGTCACTCTATTTAATGTCCCTTTCCTCTAAATCCTTTTCAAAAGGTTACTTTCCAAAAAAGCAAATGTTTATACTTCAAAATATGCCGCCAGGCTCACAATCCCTGTCTTTCTTATTAGAAACTAGTCATGTCCTATGTATCTTTGGTTTTTTGTGAGACAGGATCTTACTATGTACCCCAGACTGCTTTGGAAATTGCAGGCAGCAATCCTCCTGCCTTAGGCTACCAAGTGCTGGGATTATAGGTGTTTGGTTCTATGACCTGAAAAAGAATGTTTGCCTTATTTCTATCTTCAGCCAAGTGCTGAATACTTCTATGTATGTCACAGGCTGGTAGACAGAAATTAAGTTGTCACTTTTATGTATCCTGAAAGGCACTCTGAACACCAACTTCTGTCCTTTTTTGAGACCTCTTAGTAAGGCAATTTCTTCCTAAAGGAAATGGATAGGGGCATGTCTCCTTGAAAAGCCCATACACTTGCTTTGTCTTACTCTTTTCTTGAGCACTTCTTTTTGTCTGAACACTGATACTTAAAAATCTCTTTTAATAAAGTCTAATTCTGCTTATAAAAATCCAAAGAAAACCGATGGGGAAAATGAACAGTGAAAATAACACATCCTATGCTTAAGAAAAAGTCTTAGATTCCTCCCCACAGACACTTACCGTGTTGCATTTTGTGCCACACACCACTTGCCTATGATTTAACCACTGAGAAGCAAACACTTTATTAAGGGTCCCAAGGTGAAATTCTCTCTCCTTCAGGAGACCAGGAAGTTGTTGTGCTGCATAGCCATGTAACACCCGAGAGTACGTGGTGTCATTCTGTAGCCTGACTTCTCGGTTCTTCAAGTAGTAGACTAAGGATCTCTTCACTGGAGGGAGTCTTTTCCTTTTGTGCAAGGAGTGATCCCAACCAAACTGTGGAAATCAACATTTGAAATCAGAGGTTTGGCCACATTTCTTGAGAACAAAAAAAAAATCCCACTGTATTATCAAGGAATAAATGACCAAAAGTTCATCCTCCATTGCTGACATAAAACAAAAAATATCATAGAATAGGGCTCGAGAGATGGCTCAGTGGTTAAGAGCACTGACTGCTCTTGCAGAGGACCCAGGTTCAAGTCCCAGCACCCACATGGCAGCTACGAACTGTCCTTAACTCCAGTTCCAGGGGAATCCAAAGCTTTCTTCTGACTTCCGCGGCACTGCACAACACAGGTTCACTCACATACATGCAGGCAATACACTCATGCACATAAAATAAAAACAATAAATATGCCAGGTGTGGTGGCGCTGGGCTGTAGTCCCAGCACTTGGGAGGCAGAGGCAGGCAGATCTCTGTGAGTTCAAGGACCAAAAAAAAACCCAATAAATAAAATATTTTTTAAAAAGTATCACATAATAATATTCTCAATCCAGAAAGCCAAGCTTAACTCTTCTGGCATTGAAATAACACTGTCATAACAAAACTTACATAGAGAAAGAAAAACAGGATGAGGTTACCAGACCTTTTGGAAATGAAGGACTCATAAACGCTGTACACCTGCCCTGTTGACAGGGAAAGGAATGAGGCACAGTGATTCCCAAACCCACCTGGGCTACATTTCTGCCCAGCCCCTTTCTCCCTCTTCGCCTGTACTCCCCGTAGAACATAAAGGGTAGGTCAAGGAGCCAGACTGGGGTCCCAGGTCGTCCAGGAATATATCATCAATGGCCGCTCATCTGACATCGCGCGACCTACACTTGCAAGCAGTTTTAGAATTCGAAAAATCAAATACCAACGGGGTGAAAGGCCCGAGTAACCAGAGTGCGAATCCAACTGCAAGATCTTCCCCGCCAAAGCGGGGCAGTGTAAGGATGACACCTGGTAACTGTTTCTTCTAGGTACTTGTCCAAGAGCGAAAAGGACCAGCTCCAAGCTCAGGGGCCGCCTTCCCGAGTAAGGGAGGCGATCCACCCGGCTTTCCGGTCACTGGAAGACAGGGTCAGTCTCCTTCCCATGCACTTCCAGGAGGTTGGCTTTGCTCCGGATTCTCCCTGACTTCGAGTTCTCCTTCCTCCAGGACCAAGGTTCTGACTTGTCCTCCAGCTCTATTGCTAGCTGCAGGCCTCCGGCGGAAGGCTTCATTTCTGAGTTCCCTTTGGCTCCTCACCCTTCCGGCCCACCTGACTGCAGTGAGTGCCAGAAGGCCCAACCACAACGCGGGCCCGGACCCCGGTTCGGTCCCACCTCTGACTACACCCTAGCTGAGGACCCGAACCCCTGGTGGTGTTTCGGCCTCGTCCCTCAGGTCCCGGCCTGGAAGCCCTCACCTGCGGGTCCTGAACGTCGCTCCCAGCTCCAGGCGAGGCAGGTGCTTTCCGCTTCCTGCTAACTGCTTTCCGGGCCATAGTGGGCAGCGCAGCCGGGGCCCCGCAGCCACATGGGGCAGGGGAAGCGCGGGGCAGCAGGGCGGCGGGTCATATACTGGGCCCCCGGGCCGCGCGCGATCGGGCGCCCGGCCCGGACTCGAGGCGGGCGGAGATCAAAGAGAGGCGGGTAGAAGGGAAGGAGGGTGAAGTCGAGGTGGGAAAGGGACTGGGAAGGGGAAGGGGAGGCAGGAACCAGAAGCTTTCGGACCACCAAGTCTGAAAAGGAGGGCGAGCGCCGAGAACCAAAACACCCCCCCACCCCCCAGTTCGCCTGCGCGCCGTCACCCCTGCGCAGCCGCACATCGTAGCGCGTCGCCACGGAGACGCCTAGACACCACCACCCCCTCGGGGGGCGGGGCGGGAGACTGGAAGAAGATTTGGTGTCTCTTCCGGAACTGCCTCCTCCCCCTTGCCAAGAGGGGGTTAGCTGTGGACGAGCTGTGGCCAGGGGAATTCGGCTGCTGGCTAGAGACTTCCGATCTCAGCCTGCTCGTACGCAGGGAAGCGTACGTGAGACGCCGCTCTCCTGCTAGCAGAAGGAATCCCAACCTTGGGTCCTCTAACCATCTTGGCAGGATTGAGGATATCCTAGAGACGCTGATGCCCCTTTGGCTATCAAACTATTGAAACGTTGCACCCTAAGAAATTGGAATTTCCCCGGAGTCTCATGATGGAAGAAGGAAAAGGAGCTTGACCCCTGGAAAGAGATGTCACGTTTCTGACAACGCATCAGGCCACCTTGCAGGAGAGACTGGAGATGAGACGTGATGACGGGTGGGAGCTCACCTGGACCAGGGCTGCCTAGTTATGCATACCTTTTGCCTTCTATTTAAACCTGAACCTCATGTCAGGACTCCTATGTACTTTTTTTCTGATTTCTCACTATTACTTTCTCTATATTTCTCACTATTATTTCTCTATAATTGGCCTCTTGAGGGTGATGGGGCTTAGTTTGTTAGGCCCATGCTCTGACCCTTACAAGCTCTCTTAACAGTACTTACCCCTGTAACTGGTCACCTCACATCTAGCACCATGGTTCTCCACACACATCACAAACTATGACCTGGCATTTAGGATTGGACACTGTGAGGGAGGCAAACCCTATTTCACCATGGTTCAAGATGGAATCAGAGGGCCAGAGACATGGCTCAGTGATTAAGAGCACTGACTGCTCTTGCAGAGGACCCTGGTTAGATTCCCAGCACCCACATGGCAGCTAACATCTGTAACTCCAGTTCCAAGGGATCTGATGCCCTCTTCTGGCCTCCGTGTGCAGGTAAAAGACTCATACACATAAAATTAAAAAAATAAATAGTGAACACAAACTCAGGGGCATGGTCAGACTTTCCCACCTTCCTGACAAAGCTAATCCAGGCTATTGCAACTGGCTCACTGTCTTCTCCCCAACTTTAGGGAGCCCTCAGACTCCATTCTCCACTTTGCCCTTAACACCCCACCTTGTCTTCATCCTGACTCCTGTCCAAACCATAAGTCACTTTCTTACCATGTGACTCTACCCCCTTTTAGGTTTCCTTGGCCTGCCATCAAAGTCACACTGTCTTGTGTTTCAGGAAATAGGCCTCATGCTATGATTCCTGCCACTGCCTGCCTTTCTCTTGGAGCTCAGGTTCTGTCTCCATTAAGGAAAAGCTGGGTGAAATTCTGAATCATAGGAAAGAGTGCTCGTTTTTGGCATGTGAGTCAAAGGGAGTTGGGCTTTCAGGATCACCCTTGCCTCCATTTTCTGAAGATCCTGAAGGAATTTGAGTGTCAGCTTCCACTTTCCTTGGGCAAAGAAACCCTTGGAGGAAGCAGGATGCTCTTGCTTGAGACTGAGGGCTGTGGTGCCCAGTTACCTGCTGGTCCCTTCAGGCTTCAAGCCTCATACCTTCAGGGAACTGTGTTGTCCCATCTGCAGTTCTGCCTACAAAAAGATTTGGATTTGTTTTCTAGATTGAAACAATGTGCCACCATCCCAAATCAGCACCTCAGCTACCCTCTGATACCTCCTTGAGAAAGGCAATCCCATCTTTCTTAAGCCTATCCCTTCAAAAGTATACACATTGTGAATGGGCAGGACTATGTCAGTTCCTTTTTTGAGTCTGTTCAGGTTCTGTCTTGCCTCACAATGCTCTGAATGACCCAGGAGCCCATTGGACAAGAGTCTGGAATCCTTTGAGAACCTCTTGGCATAGGCTGAGTGGGGATGGGATCTCAATGTCCCCAGGCCACGTCAGAAAGGCACATTGGGCACTAGGGCAGGCTGATTCTGGGAGTGGCACTTCATCTTGACATTCCAGATCATCCCGAAATGCCCATCACCAACTCTGAGGAAATAGAGTGAAGTCTGAAAGTTCATAGTAAACTTACTTTTTGGAGGTGCTGGAGACTCAGACTCAAAGCTTTGCACGTCATGTGTTCTACAACTCAGCTATACCCACAGCTTTACAACAGTTTTTTTCAGTGCTAGTGATCAAGCTTAAGGGCCTCTTGCATGCAAAGTATTGTATCTGAACTACAAAACTAGCCTCAGTTTTTTCTCCCCCCTTCCTTCCTTTCTTTCCTTCCTTTCTTTCTCTCCCTTTCCTTTCTCTCTCTCTCTCTCTCTCTCTCTCTCTCTCTCTCTCTCTCTTTTTCTTTCAAGTCTCTAGCCCGGGTTATTATTTCTGATTCTGATCCCTAGTGCTGGGATCACAGGCATACATGACCATATCCTCTTTATGCAGTGCTGGAGATCAAACATAGGGCCTCTGCATGGTGGGCAAGCACTCTACCAACAGAGCTACATTTCCAGCCTTTCAGTTCTGTTTGTTTATTGTTTATTTTTTGAGACAGGCTAATACTGTAGCCCAGGCTGGCCTAGAACTCCTGGCAAACTTCTTGCCTCAGCTTCCTGAATGCTAGGATTATAGATGTAAGACACCATGTTGACTTTTCTTCTTCTTCTTTTTTTTTGTCTTTTTGAGACAGGGTCTCCCTGTAGCCCCAGCTGTCCTGGAATTCACTATGTAGACCAGGCTGGCCTTGAACTCAGAGATCCACCTGCCTCTGCCTCCCAAGTGCTGGGACTACAGGCATGCGCCACCACCCCCGGCTGACTTTTCTTCTTTAAGAAATAATCTCTGGGCTAGAGAGATGGCTCAGCGGTTAAGAACACTGACTGTTCTAGTAGAAGACCTCAGTTTGAAACCCAGCACCCACATGGCACCTAACAACTGTCCGTAACTCCAGGTCCAGGGGATCTGACAGTATCTTCTGTTCTCCATGGGCACTGCATGACACAGGTGCACTTACCTACAATGCAGGTGTTGTACTTCATCCACTGGACCCCAAAAAGACCACCGAGGACCCAACACACCAAAATGCAAAAGCAAAGGTTTATGGTTTATTAG